ACTTTACATGACCAGTTCACGAGTCCAGGGTCGCCGTGGACTCGGTCGAACATTGGTTCAGGGTTTCATTTCAGTCCGGACTGAAACTTTGTTGTTGTCCTGACTGAAACTTTATTTGAAAAAAAAAAATAACAATGCAAAAGTTTGACTTCCTTTTCCTTAACATCTTGTCCGATGGCACGGTATTTCATGTGAATATATTTATAGGCTAGAAGGCCTTAATTGAGAAGTAGAAAATGGTTGGGAGTTGGTTGCATGGTAGCCACTTTTGTTGACTTGGAGGGTTTTGGCCTTGATTTGCACTAGCCTATGTTGTAGGCATACGTATGGTGGTGTTGCTTTCGTGCTGCTCCATGGTGTCCTTTTGATCTAATAAAAGAGTAGGCAAAACAAATTCTTTCTGATTTGATGAAGCATTGGCAGGACGAGATCTATGTCCTCAAGAATGTGACAGGAATCTGAAGAAGAAAGGAAGAAACAAGAGGAAGACTGCTAATGGATATCAGATAATGGATGTTGGATGATGACGATGCTGAGAAGGGTTAGCATCAAACTCTCTTCTTTCTTCCGAATTTTGTTTTATTTATTGGATTTAGCTAGTTTATTTTTCCAAGTTTTTATCCTTGGAATTATCTTATAATTTGTTTGTACTTGGGCTATTTTCTTTTCGAGTTACTCAATATGCCTGCACATAAGAACACAAACATTGGCTTAAACATTGTTATGTAAGATCAGATCCTCCTTTTGGTGTTATAATTTATGTTATTGATGCAAAATTATACATACTATAAATTTTTATTGCTTATTGAAAATGCAGGTTGTGCATAGAAATTTCCTCTCAATATTCCCTGCCTTTACATAACAGACCATAGAAACTATGCACTGATCATTGGCTTTGTAAAAATGCCTGATATCCCCCCCCCCCCCCTTTTTTTTTTCTTTTTCGAAAGAGATAGATCTGATATGGTCTAATTGTCATGGAGTCATGACTTATGAATTCGAAAATTTAGTACTGATTCGCTTTCGATACAAGGTTATTGATATTTTGGAGTACAACACAAATACATTATGAGTGTACATAATACATATTTGACCACTTAAGCACAATACACAAAATCAGGTAAGAATTAGAGAAAACCTAATTGAATTAGTGCTTCATTGGATGATTGATATCGCAGGGCACCTTCTTTTTTTTTTTGGAATACGTAAGGGCATTGTTATTGCTCATTCCAGTTGTCTTTTTTCTTTTTTGTTTTGTTTTGTTTTGAACAGCAATATTATTATTTTGAGTACAAGGGTACTCAACCTTTACAATCCTTAACACTTAATCACAACAGTAGACAAGCTTTTCCAATACAATTTCCATACCAAGCGTCCAACAAATTAAAATGCAAAATTATTCAACTATTGGATGGATTCACTGACCTTCAAGCCCTCTAATGCCTTCTACGAGCCTTCCCTCTGCCCCTCCTAATATCCTTCATGCATCTGCAAGGGTCCAGATTCCACTCGCTAAAGTTGAATAAGCACCCCTCCAGCTTCCCTTCGAGCCAATGAAATGACCGAAGTTGAATCAATTCCATGAGTTTATCTACAATCACCGTACTTTCTTCGAAAATTTTTTGTTAAAATCCCTTTTTTAGTTCTACTGTTCTAATTAAAAGCCTTTTTTTTAATCCTTTTGCTTAAGAAACTCTATTTTTTATCTCTAAAATTTAAAATCCTATTTCTTTTTAGTTTTTTTGTTATTTTTTTTTGTGTGGGCATGTTATCTTAACAAAAATTTTAAAATAAAAAGATTAAAAAGGAGTTTTTTTTAAAGGGACCAGAAGGAGCTTTTTTTGTTTAAGTAGAGGGATAAAAAAGGAGTTAATTTTTATCATCTAATGTGCTGTACATAAAAAATAATTGAGAGATTAAAAAAGATTAGATTTTAAACTTTAAGGATTAAAAAAGGACTTTCTTAAGTAGAGGGAGAAAAAACACTTTTTATTAACGTAGAGGGACCATAATGGGTTTTAATCAACAGTTTTCTTCCCGGCCAGCTAAACCGTACACACAACGAACTGCATCCAATTCCAACTTTTCCGAAGTATAATAAAGAGAATATTTGTTCCAATGCCTCATTAGACTTGAGCGGTATCACAGCAGCTAATCCCCACCAAGAGAAGCAACGCGTCCATAATTCATAAGCAACACTGCTCCGAGTAAGTGCGTTGAATTCTCAAGAAACCTTCCACATAACATCAACCACATAGACATTGATCCTCAATGCTAATAATACCCCTTTTCCACAAATTATGTCTTGAAAGAATTCAATCATGCATTAATTGCCATACAAATGCACATATTTTACTCGGAATGTTTGGATTCCAGGCAACCTTGAATGCCCTATTGTGTACTGCATCATTTTGGGACAGCAGTGCATAACTTGATTTTGCCTGTATCTTCCATCCTTGTTGTGGCTCCAACTCCAAGTTTCCTGGCCTCCTTGCACAAGTTTAGCAGACTTCAATAGGTCTTCCAATTCTTGTTTCTGCTCTCCTCGCGTCTCCACTGCAGTGTCCCCATCCACTCGTTGTTGTTCCAAAAGCCCATCTCACTGACTTTGTTTTCTCATCCTGAAGAGAGTAAAAATAACCTGGAAAATTTTTTAGGTAGACTTTCCTCCCCTAACCAGTTATCCACCCAAAATTTCACCTGCCTACCATCCCCTACCACCATCCTAAAACCATCAGATAACCATCCAACCCTCTCCGCTTTTCTCTAAAATCTAACCATCGAATCCCCTCCACTTCTATAAAATCTAAATTACAAACATCCTTCCACCAATTTGATCCCCTCCCTCTCCCTCTCCCTTCCCTTACCCAAGCCATCCAATTAATCCCCTAATTACCATACTTCTCCCTTATAAACTCTCCTCCATAAACCCTCACTCTCATACACCAAACACCACACCATTTACCCAATAATGCCAAGTTAAAATTCCTCAAATTCCTAATACCCAACCCTACCAATTCCTTGCTGCAGCATACCTTGTGTTGAAACTTAAATATTTTAATAAAAAATAAAATAATATATTTTATAAATTAAATTTATTATCAAATTAAAGACTTAGTCAAATTAGTCATTGTAGGTTAATTACCTTACTTAAGGCACATTATTTCATAATAATTACCAAATTTATTTCTATCATTAATTTACAAATAGAGTTACAAGATTATAAGTGCTATAAATAGGACATGTCTTTTTGCTCAAGTAAAGAGTGTTCCTCCACATTCTTTCTACTTTATTACCATATTCTTCCTCCAAAATATTTTTGAGTAAAGAAGAGTGTTTTGAGTCAGGTGATTCTATGGGTAGTGTAGATTCATAGAGTGTATAAGACTGTAGCATCTTAGGGGCGACATGCCATGTAAATCTCTACTGCAACAGTTGATTTACTCTCCGTAGAGGCGTGAATCGCCTTAAAGTAAGTAAGTTTTTTACGTTTATTTTGATGATATTTTTTTATCAATATTTCTTGATAAGTTTATTAATTATTATTTTACTTGATTTTATGACTGAACCACAACAATGATGTGATGTGAAGATAAAGGAGAGTGTTCGAGGAAGAATACCTTATTCCAGTCCAACCCAACTTACACTCCTATCCTCGCCAGATCCCCCCATAAAAATTCCTTTCTTATTTTATTAATTATTCTAATGACAGCTTTGGGAAGCAAGTACACCAACATGAGGAAAACAGGTGGGTTGGACAACAGAGAGTTAACGAGAGTAATGCGACCACCTAGAGACAAATAATGACCTTCATAGGATGTGAGTTTCTTTGTGAAGTATTCTACCAACGACTGCCAAAATTTCAATTTCCTTGGGTCACCTCCAATAAGAATCCCCAAATACTTAAAAGGGGTCTCGCCTTGTTTACAATTCAGAACGCATGCCATTTTAGATTAAACCCCACGAGCATGCTTTTTCCAAAATTTATCCTCAGGCCTGAAACCAGATCAAAGCATTGTAAAATGCCTTCGACGGCCCACACATTTTCTTCAGTTTTGCTTTTCCAAAAATAATGGTATCATCCGCAAATTGGAGATGAGAAATGGCCTAGCCACCATTGCCCACACTAATTCCTTCAACCATGTTTTTTGACACCACTGATTGGATTAAGCCATATTCAACCCTTCTGCAGCTATCTGAAATAGAAACGGGGAGAGTGTGTCCCTTTGTTTGAGTCCACTGAAGCAGAGAATTGTCTTGATGGGCTACCATTGACTAACAAGGACACCTGGCTTAAACTTAATCATTCCTTGATCCAAGCTCTCCATGTGTCATCAAAATTCATTCTGCTCATCATGTAGTCTAAAAAGCTCCAACATACCTTGTCATATGCTTTCTCAAAATCAATTTTGAAGGCAAAGCTCCTAAGTTCCTTCTTTTTTACTTCATCTAGAATTTCATTAGCAATCACCACGCCTTCACTTAATTGTCTGTCACTGATCAAAGCCATTTCCTGTTCACCAAGTACAGTATCCATCACCTGATTTTGCCTGTTAGTCAACAACTTAGCAGTGATTTTGTCCATTGAGCTGATCAAAGAAATTGGTTTGTATTCCTCCACTTTCACTGGATTATCCACTTCTGGAATTAAGACAATAAATGAAGTATTGGAGCCTTTTTCAATTTTCCTAGAATTGGGAAATTCCTGAACAAACTGCATTATGTCACCTTTAAGCACCTCTCACATTCTTTTGATAAAGCCAAAATTATAACCGTCAGGTTTCTGCACTTTCAAACTTTCGCAATCCCATACACCTCTTCTGGTCTCCTCTTCTTCAATTTGTGCAATGATTCTAACATTTTGTTCGTCTGTAAACTTTTTGAAACTAATGCCATCCAAAGTTGGTTGCTCCTAACGTTCATCGGTGAACAGTTTCTCAAAATGTGAAGCTATTCCTTCTTTCACCTCGTTAACTTCAACTAATTGAGTGCCATCAATCACAATGCTGTTAATTTCATTCTGCCTCCACCTGCCCTTAGCAGACTTATGGAAGAATTTGGTATTTGCATCCCCTTCAAGTCTTCCTAGACTTCTGTCTCCACATCCTCTGCTGTATCTTCAGGTTGTTCCAAAGCTCCAAAAAGTGATTTTTCTTGTCCAAGATCTCCTCATTTGATAGCTGCCGATTTTCCCCAATGACATCCAGCTCCTCAATTTTATCTTTTGCCTTGCTAATCTTCTGCTCAATATTAGGCACCATATTCTTACTCCAGCCTTTTAGAAACACCTTAGTTTGCTTTAGTTTTTCCTTGAGACTGAATCCCTTCCTTCCTTGCACCTTCAATGATCTCCAGAAATCAGTGACCTTCTGCAATAATTATGGGTGTTCAAACCAGGCATCAAAGACTTCAAATGGTCTTTGGTCCCCAATCAACCTTTTGATTTTTCAGCAAAATTGGGCAAATGATCAGATATGGATCTTCTAAGTCCCTACTGTCTAATATCTCCTCAGTTTAACGGCCATCCTTCTGTAAGTAGAAAACTGTCCAATCTGCTCCTCAAATTGCCATTAGAGTGATAGCAAGTATAATTTCTTCTCACTAACGGAAGATCAATCAGTTCAGCATCTCTAATAAAATCGTTGAACTCTTGCATTTCTCTCTGCTGTCTTCTACCGCAATTTCCTGGGTGGATCTTACTGCGTTGAAATCACGTACACACCAATTTCTTCCCCACTCCTTAATCAAAATTTTTAACTCATTCCACATACTCCTTTTGCCCTGCATGTCACATGGCGAGTACACGCATACAATATATACTGCGATATTTTCCATCCCCCAAAAGCCAAAGACTCCAATGAAACTGTCACTTCCAGATGCAAATTATTCCTCCTGCTTGACCAACGGATGGCAATAAACACCAATTCATGTTATCAAACCCCCAAATACTTCTACATAATCTTCTATCAACCAATTCCAATTTTGATTCTTGTATTGCAATAAATTCCACTTCTCCTTAGCTATCAACTCCTTTAATTCCCTCATCTTACAGTCCCCTGACATTAATTGATAGCAGAATCATTGAGAATGCAGGTTAGCTTCCTTCACAATTGACTCATCACCCTTACTACCCTGCTACTTTCGCATCATTTTATCCCTGATCTCCATCTTTGCTAGTTGCTGCAAGCATGCTTCTTGTTTGCCACCTGCCGAGACTCCCACCTTCTTAGCAAAATTCCAGATATCTAAAGCCCTCTTACTTCCATTTGACGAGCTTTGTTGTTATTACAATTCCTAATATCACTATCATCCACTAATTCCCCAGCAATCTGTTTCTGTTGACTGGCAAGGAACAATGGATTTTGCTCTTATAGTCTGAGCTTTGAACTCTGTCTTCCTTTCATCTTCCCTCCGGCTGGTGTTACCGCCAAGATCAGAGCATCTCTATATACTGCGGCCCACGATCTCGCTTTCTTTGCTCTTTTCTTCTTCTTGGTCTTTCGCCTCTTGTCCTTGCCCATCCACTCCTTAAACTCCCAGACAGACTCATTTTCAAGCCCTTCCCCAAAGGACTCGTATTGGTTCTCCACAATTTCCCCATGTGATATGGATAAAACCGCCTGCTCTTGAGATTTGTTTAACGGGAGCCCGCGACTCATCATCATGGGCTGGGCTCTCAACATACTAGGCCCATTCGCTCTCTCCTTCATTCACCATAGTCTCCTTTATGTAATGGGTCTCTAGGCCTCGATTTCTCGTAAAATTCGAAGGCCCAATACAATTATTTTGTCCTATTTTGCCCACCGATCTACCACCCCTTGATTTCCTTTCTGAGTTCACCTTGCCTATTATCGGAGAAATTTTTGTAAAATGCGGTGCCTCCAAACTCTCAACCACCCTCTCCGTGCTCTTGGGGATTGAGTTCTGCTTATGATAGGCTGCTCTTCACACCCAGGCACGGAGCCAGGAAATTCAGTTAGGGGCGAAATTTATTGTTAAAAATTTGAGCTTTTAAAAGTATTTTTTATGATATTAATTATTTTTTTAAATCTTCTCATCTATAAAAAGATTTATTTGTGATTTTTTTCATTGATATATTCTTAATAAAGATTAGAAATAAATGTAATTATAATAAAAATCAAAATATCATAATAATAAATCATGCAATAATCAATTGAAGGAGTAAAAAAAAGAGAAATGTGTTTATTAGCTGAAATTTTACTAAATTATGAGGAAAAATACCACAAAAGTAAATTGTTTTAATAAACTTGTATTGAAAAAAACTAAAATAACATATTTTTAAAATAAGAATAAGAATATTTTGATTTTATTGAAACAATTTAATTTTGGGGTGTTTTTCTCTTAATTTTTTGGAGGTTATATTAATAAACACTAATTTTATAAAAAATACTAAAATATTTCTTTTAGAAAATAAACTTTAACTTATATTGATTAAACAAAAAAATTATAAATTCAATCATAGAAGGTAAAAATATACCTCGATGCCAAAATAAAAAAAATTTAAATTATTATATAAAATATTAAGAACAAATAGAAGAATACTCAAGAAAACTATAAATTTAAAGTTGTTGAAATAGATAATCAAAGTTTTTTTGAGCTTAATAGATGAAAAACTGATTAAGAACATTATTAATTAATTAATTGACATAAATTTATTTTACTTGAATTATATCCCTATTTTTTGAAAACTTTTTATTTTTAGGTCCTAAGTATTTTCTTTACATTTGAAATTGTTCTTAAAATTCACACTATAAAAACAAAATTTTTAACAAATAAAAGTTGAAGTACCATATTAAATGTTTTTCAAAAACTTAGGGTGACGGCCGCCGCCCCCCCCCCCCTGCCGTTTCTCCTTCATTGGCCCGTCCCTGCCTTTGATCAAATGGGAAATTAAAAACTTATAAGAAAAAATTATTAATCTCAGAAATTCATGTCAATTCTAAAATCATGAGAAGGATTCCAAACACCATTGCAGATTTTTGAAATATATGAGATTTAAATGAATTATGAAAAATGATAAGCATATAATTATTTTGAGTTCAATGATTTGTATAATATTACGTGCTATATTATTATTATTGACTGTTCTTTTTACTCCAAAAGTTATCTTGATTGCACTTGACCCGTGTGGTCCAGTAACTAGAGCCACTGAAAAGTGCATATCCTCCGCTTCTGGGCGGGTTTCAAACCCACCCATGACAAAACTATTTAAAAAAAAAAAAAAGTTATCTTGATTGCACTTGGCCTCTCGGCTCAAACGGCCTTAGAGCTTGTAGTGCATTTCCCCCTTTCCCATGGTGGGTTGGATACCCACCCTTGTAAAGTTGGTCATAAAAAAAAAAATAAAAGAAAAGAAAGAAAATTTATCTTGATTGATTCTTTTATTTCAAAAGGTGAAAAAATGAAATTAATCTCCCAGTAAAGCGATTAAAAGGGAAATCGAGGGGAGAAGGAGAAACCTTAGATCCAGGAGAAGTGTCTCGGTCTCCTCCTACGAATCGAGGAGAAGTGTCTCCTCCGAATACAGGGGACTCGCGGCGAGCGGCGGAGGCACGGATTGCCTGAGCGGCAAGGGAATCGGAAGGTGATCTCGTCGATAGCGGATGCAACGAGGACGAGGGAAATGAATGCGACGATGTAAAGTGCGAATCGGAAGATTTATCGTTGCTGTCATCGACATGATTGTTAATTTCATCCTTGAAGGTGGAGGCTCTGGTCATCCCCTGCCGTCCTCTGTACGCCATTTTTTCAGTTTAATGAATCCGACTCCGGAGAAGAGAAGACCGTTTTGGAAAATTTGTTCTTGCCTTAACAAACTTCCCCTCCTTTTTTCAATGAATTTCGGATAATTGATTGTATTAGATTAGATGGTTTTTGATATACGCCAAAAAAATAAAAAGAAAGGGAAAAAAATTCATGCAAAATGGGTTAACTTGATGACCGTTACTAGTGTTTCAAGCTATTTCTACGGTTCCATTTTGATTTATTCTTACTATGTTTGGGTTGACTAGAATGAAAGGGAGAGGAGGAGAATTATACTTTTTCTCCTCTCTTCTAATTTTTATTTTTTTACAACAAAATAAAGGAAATTTTAACCCAAATATATAATTAATAATCTCTTTCAGTTTTTAAATTATTAATTCTTTTTATTTATTTTAATAACTTTTTAAGTTAAGGTATATGTACTTCGAAAAATTTAAGTGGTTGCTCATTTACAAACAAGCCACTCGTACTTCCCCACTGATGTGGGATTCGCGGCGTCACAAAATCACTGGCAGTTAAGGAAGGATTTACCTTAACTATTGTTTAATTACCATGTGCACTTAATGATTGCTTAATTACCCTAGTTTTGTGATGTTTACTGTTCTACATGCCCGATCGGTTTCTTTGTCACAATTTGGATTACTGCTGTCATGCACAAGTCAAGTGAAATCTTACGAAAGCAAACAGCTTTGAAGGTGCAGTAAACTTCCAGTTCTGGATCTATTTCATGGGTCTTTTCCCATAAAGAAAATGTTACATGAAATATTAAGCATTCTTTCTGTTTGTTGCTGCAGGGACAGAGGAAGATCTCTGTTCTTATTTGCATCTGTCTTGGTTTCACAATTCACGTGGTTACTGTCTATTGGTGGCATCGTCGTGATGATATTTTACAACCATTGGTCATGCTTCCTCCAAAATCCATTCCACCTTTCTGGCATGCTCTTTTCACCTTCATGGTTAATGGTTTGTTCTTATTCATTGATTTTTTTTTAATCAACTAAATTATACGTTTTGTGGTAGTGTGGTACAATTTATAGATATTGTCCTGTGCAACAACACTTACCCTTTTCACTTTACCATTACATAACCAACCTATGTTGGAGACATCACAAAATACCTATGTTCATTGCCTTTTGGGACCAAACAACTGGTTTCTTTTGTGTTGGAGTGTATATATGAGATCTAAATATATTGAAAAGCTTGCATAAAATAAACAATGCTTAATCCTTTGACATGCATAATATAAATAGTACTAGTTGTTTGACACTCATACCTAAGCTTGAGCAACATAGATACTTACACTTTAGCACATCCCTCTAGGTAACAGAGCATTTAAAATTAATGGAACTTGTGTAATGCTTTTCCTTTTCTTTTGGGAACTGGAAAAATGTATTTGTCCAAAAATAGGAATTTATTTTTGCTAACCTATATACCTCTGGTAACTAGTGTGACTTTCTTTTGTTTTCGGTGTACCTAGCACTTTTCAATTGGTCCTTACTTCATCTCCCACACATTTAGCTCAGTGTCCTTCCACAGAGGCAATATTTTCCCTTTGTTGCACTGGATGTATTTGCACGTTACTTACTATATTCCCTTGATAATGGATTCTTTCAGATACTTTGGATCGGCAAGCATCAATGATCTCAAAGTGTCTTTTGTTAATTTATTACAAGAACAGCAGAGGGAGATATTATCGTAAGCAGGTAATGATAAATGATTCAAATTAATGTATTTTGGCCTTCATATACTGACTAATGGTATTTTTTTTTTTTGGTTTCCAGGGTCAAATGCTGACTTTGGTTGAGTATCTGATGCTGCTTTACCGTGCATTGTTGCCAACTCCAGTGTGGTATCGTTTCTTTTTAAACAAAGACTATGGAAGCCTCTTTTCATCTCTAATGACAGGACTGTATTTGACTTTCAAGCTCACATCTGTTGTTGAAAAGGTATTATTTTCTGTGAAAATAAAATCCTCAAGTTCTTTGCTTGAATTAAAGATAACCTGGTTTCTATGTGAAAGTTTTAATGGCAAATAAAGTGGCTTCTTGTGCTTGCTTTCCTATATATAGATTCTCTTACATGGTTGCTAAGTTTCAGGTGCAATCCTTCTTTACCGCACTGAAGGCATTATCACGTAAAGAGGTGCATTATGGTGCTTATGCAACATCAGAACAGGTATTCTGGTTTTCTTTCCTCTGAGTGTGACCTGAATATTGTGTTCATATGATTTTGGTATCCATTCATTTCCAATTCAATGTCCCATTTCTATGGCCAAAAAATGAAAAGTTCCCCCCTTTCTTTTACCTTTTGTATTCTCATATGTATATATATAAAGAAGGAACGCCATAAGGGAAGGATGATGCAGCAAATTTGGAAAACTTTAAAGAACATGCCTTAAGCCACAAAGAGAACCTTGTTTCCTATTCTTTCTACTCTTTCCCTCATTCTCTGACTTCAACCCCTGAATACAGAAGGTCAATTCCCAATGACATGGAGGCAATTGCAGTGAAACATTTTTTAGAAAAAACATTGCAAAAATGGAAAATCAGGATGTCCTGGCATGCCAGGACGTCCTGATTTTCCGCGGACCCAAAAACATTTATCGTTACAGTTTCACTGTGAACATATATGGTACATGCCAGTGGGAAAGCACTTGGCACATACATCTGATGTCTTGTGTCATTTTGTAGCTGCAATAACTTCTTACTTGTTTGATGTAGGTCAATGCAGCCGGAGATCTGTGTGCTATATGTCAGGAGAAGATGCATGCTCCTATTCTGCTTCGTTGTAAACACATCTTTTGTGAAGATTGTGTATCAGAATGGTTAGTTGGTTATTGCATATGTTTTTATGTTTTTGTTCTTCTGTTGGAAATAAATTCTGCCTTAAGAAACTGTGATTTTTCCATGACATTTGGTTGCATTTGCATCTGTCTTTGAATATAATTTGTTTCAAAATCTTTTTTTTTTCTCCTGTCTATTTACACTCTGAAAAACTGGAAACTGCCCCTTTTTTTGCAGGTTTGAGAGGGAAAGAACATGCCCTTTGTGCAGGGCTCTGGTTAAACCTGCAGATCTAAGATCATATGGTGATGGATCAACAAGTTTGCTCTTTCAGATATTTTAAAGTCTTCTGTACAAAACCAAGAAGTTTTTCTGCTTTGAGGCTTCGTGTAACCCATTCAAAGTGGCTTCTTCCGATCAGTCATCCACAGAGGTAAATTTGACTCTATTTGGCTCTTCCTGTTCATGAATTGTCCAAGAAAATTAAACGAAAACTACTGAATATAGAAGTAAAATCTAGCTGTCTGCTCCTATGTTTGTATTAGAAACGTTGGATGTGTAATGTCCCCCTAAGGGGTTAACAGAGAGATCATCCGAAGGATTAACAGTATGTCATTGTGTATTGCCATAAATGAAAGTATTTTTTGGTCTTCTTTTTCCTCTCCCATGATTTTCCTAGGTATATCTTTCTCCATGGGAAGGAAAGATATAAGAGAAAGGTGCACCATACGTTTATATCAGTCTTAGGTTTGAGCATTCCAGAACTTTCCAGTTCTGTCTGCATTGACTCTGGTTGGTTTGATTTGATAGTTGCTACCATGAGATAACCCATGTAAGGAGAATGATTCAAGAAAAAGAATGAAGATATTTTGGCGGATGGACAATGTTCATATGAGCTACAATCCTTACAAAAATGCCAAAAATGCTGTTTCTTCATGGGATAATGAAGGGTACATGAGTATTTTCAGAGTTTGTACCTCAGTGTGCAGTC